GCTCTTCCGATCTAGAAAAATCAATATTTTGAAAAATCCCTACGTACTTCTATTGTCTTTAATATGTAGATAATAAAAATTCTTTGTGTTTTGTTCAAGGTCAAAAGGAAAAGTCAAACCGTGTGCCTGGAATCCTGTACACAGTGTATACCGATAGAAAAAAAGGGATTCCTCAAGTGTAGACCAGTGCGCCGCCATTTTGAACATAATAAAAATTTAAAAAATATTTTTTTTAGTTTTTTATATATGTACAATAATGTCCTCTAAGCAGATTTTAAATAAAGTTATCCATTTACCCACAAAAAATTCCCAAACTTAAGATACCATTTTAAAACCTCAAGAGTGATATACCTCTTAAGAGAACTAATACTAATTATTTGACAATAACAAGATAACATTTGTTGTTTAGTTTATGAGAATTGAATATAGAATAATGTGACAGAAACTTACATTTATCACTTTTTCTAACAGCTTGTTGCAATCCTCCGAAAACACCGTAGTCTTCGGATTATTTAAGCGATATGCATTTGCCGCGGAGTTATCTTTCTCAATTGCCCACAAACTTTTGGCTACATCCGCTTGATGCATTCCTTCAGATAATCCTGTTAAATAAGTGATTATAACATAATTTAAGTACATGTAAGAGAGATAAGGAAGATATGAAAAAGGATATAAAAACAAAGAACAAATATATATAATGTAACATACCTCCACAACCAGCAAACATATCCAACGTTCTTAATTTTCTTGGTATAGCAGTATAGTCTACGGCTGTTTCAATAATCTGTTTTTTTTCAGCACCTTTCACCTTCTTTGCTACAGATTTACCCTTTCCCTTTCCTTTTCCAGATTTACTTGTATTAATAATGTTGTACGGTGGCTCGTCGAATGTTTTTTCTTTAGGATTGTACGCTTCGGTAAAATAGAATCTGTTTGGACCACCCATAGACCATTCTTCAATAGACTCGTTCATATTTTTAAAGTATGCAAGGTAGCATTTACCGGCGACTAAGGAGAAATTTACGATGCATACTACATGAAAACAAAGAAAGGATTATTTATTTCAGAGAAATAGAAGTAAATGTGTTAGATCTTATTCCAGATATACGTTTTTAAAATAATTTCTTATAATATGTATATATAATAGGACTGTGAACTTTTTACTTTAAAACATATTATTATTATACATATATTGTAGTATATGTTCTAAGACTATTGTAGTATAAGTTCTAAAAAACTAAAAAAAATATTTTTTTATTTTTATTCACTTCAAATATTCAAAGCTTCGAAGTTTCAAAGTTTTGAAAAATACATTAATATTTGAATTTTCTTAATTGAATTGTTGTTTTTTATTGATCATTATCTTTCCTCATTTACGCGTGTATAACGTTTAATTATTAATTTTGAATATTTCAAGTTATAATACTTTCAAATTTTTTAGGAATAATTTCGTATATATATTAATTCTTATTATTTACAATATTTAAAATTTTTTGAATAAATTTATCATTTGCACAAATGTATTTTTCGAAACTTCGAAGCTTCGAATGAATTCGAAGATTTTAATGCCAAAGCTTCGAATCTTCGAAGCTTTGAAGTTCGAATGTCGAAGCCTTCGAAGCAAATCACCAGCCCTAATATATAACATTATCTGTCTTCAATACCAATTGTTCACCGATAATACTAAAAATTACTTGAAATTATAATTTTTTGAACTTACTCTCATTGCTCCAATAGACCATATTAATATCTGATTGCTCCATTAACGCTAAATCTCGGTGAGTATTTTCCGGCCTATACATTTTGTTCACTTTAATAAAAATGTTTGACGCTGGCACTGATACATCATTTGTCGTGGCATATATTGCGTTAATGTAACCGATATGAAAAGGTTCAGGTGTATCAACATTTGAGAATGTGGTTTTATCGTCTGCTTTTCGATAAAATTCCGGATATATATCTTCATCTACACATTTTCTTGAAGAATTTTTAGATTCTTCATATGTTCGTTTGTGTTGAAATTGAAAAGCCTGCGGATACAAGAACACTGCACTACCAACTTTATATTCTTCATCTTTGTATTTTACTAACTCGTAAATCACTTCTTTACTGCTTTTTTCTTCTATTCGGTTGTAAACCTAAAAACAAAAGAAATAACACGAGACAATAAGCTTTAATAAAAATTAAATGCCCTGCACACAAGCACAATATATTAATTTTTATACAAAAACAATAAATAGATATATAAAAAATGACACTATAGAACAAAATATGTACAGAAAATCATTTTGAAAAAATTGTAAGTGTAAGAAAAAAATTATATTTTAAACTATATCCATTTTTGTAAAATTTTTTAATATTTTTAATAATAATTTTCCATTGTTTAAGAAATCCAAGCCAAAACAATTATTAGATATCGTAATTTGAATATCGGTCTGGATTCATGCTTATAAAATTGAAGAAATTCAATTCTTGGATTAACTTGTATAATCTAAATCTGACCTTTTATAAACGTCTCATACCTTAGGTATATCTTGTTGCTTCAATAGATCCAATCGGATGCAACAGGGACAGAATCGATGACTAATTTTTTCCGGACATTCTGGATCAGGTGGTGGATCCTCAAATCGAGCACTTGTAGGATCATATTTCAATTGATAAAAGAACGTTTTACCATCTATGTCTTTTATATCGTTATCTATATCCGTATTACCTGCAATGTAATTATATGTAAATGTAATGTCAAAATATTAAGAAAGCTGGAGAGGCGCGTGGGAGAGCGACCATAGTCTATGTAAAGATTCCAGATTCAATCCCGACTGTCACTCCATTTATGCTCCAGTTTTGTAAGATTGAAAATTATGTTTGGACAAAAAAATGTGAGTAAAGCGCGAGGTGATAATGGTATTCTTTTCGGGAATCGAGAAAATAAAATTAGACATATTATTGAGAAATTTAGGTATATTTTGATTGTGAATAAAAGAAAATGAAATAAATAAATACCTTAATTATGTTTTAATAAAATAGAAGAAAGTTAAATTTAATTAGCAATTTAATCTAATATTCTTACCTAGTTCAGACCAATTCTCAGGTGCTTTCTTATAAATAACAGTTGCCTTTGATCTAATCGATTTGAATGATGCTTCGCGACATTGGTCGCTCAGGAATAATTCTATTGGATTATTTGAAGTGTCACCGAGTATGGTATCGGTACCTCTGAAAAAACGATTTCCGTGAAATCGTTTTTCTCCATACTTGGTTTCCCACATAAATACAACTTTATAAATTTGTAGAGGAATTGTCGGATCTCTGAGCTCCAGCAAAACATAATCATTTATATTAATTTTTTCGTTACCAACTGTAACTGATTTATAATATGTTTTTTGCCCGTCCATAATTTTATCTTCTTGTTCCCATATTATATCTTTTTTAAGTTCTTTAAAATCTTCATTTTTCTTTTCTTGTACCGTTTGATCCGCCACTTCATACTGACTTTCAAATTGCTCTTCATTTTCATATTGCTCTTCATCAGAATCATCTGCTTCCTATATGAACAAATAATTATTGACTTTGTATTATATAAATTTCCAAATATTATAAATATATAATTTTCAAAAATCAGAAAAAAATGTTTAATCTATTTCTAAATGTTATTTTCAGGGTTGGGTAAGTTAATATTTTTCTTCAACTAAATTAAGTTAAAGTTAATGGATTAGAAAATTTAGTTACGTTAAAAGTTGCATGAACGAAAAAGTAATTTAGTCAAAGTTGAGTTAAGATAAAATTAACTTAAGTTAAATTAAAAGTTTATTTTAAAAGCATTAAATTAAATTTGCATTATATTAGAATCATAATTTTTTAAAATTAAGTTACTCTAAATCTAAATATAAAACAATTACAATATAAATAATTAAATTTTAATATTTGATTTGTTTTAGAAAGTATAGATTTTCTATCCTATTAATAATAAAATTTCGTTCGGGACTTCGGAGAGTATAACGTTATCGTTGCTATCAGCGTTATTGTGTCATTCTGTCTATAGCAATGAAAGCTCTTCAAATGCAGAATCTATTTCTTTAAAGTGTATTTTATTTTAAGCATAATGCTTTATTTATCCTTGTTTACCAAAACATTTATCCTAGTTAACGATCATTTATCATTGTTGAACAAAGATAAATTATGCATTACTATGACGCGTGAAATGGAATGTATTCTAAGTTTGTCAAGTTCAGTTTACTTTTGAGCACTAAAAATGTCGCGCATATTACGATTGATCTAAATTAATTCTGTTTAAAATTTTTATTTAAAAAATATTGACATTTAGAGAGATAAAAAAATGTTTAATTTAGGAACAATATTAAAAAGTTAAAGTTTGTGTTTTTAAAATAACTAGTTGATATTAATTCATTTAACTAAGCTAAGTTAAAAGTTATTAATTTTTTAACTTT